GTACACGACTGTATTCCCCTCGTCTAGTGTGGGCACATAATGTACACCACTGTATTCCCCTCGTCTAGTGTGGGCACATAATGTACACGACTGTATTCCCCTCGTCTATTGTGGGCACATAATGTACACGACTGTATTCCCCTCGTCTAGTGTGGGCACATAATGTACACGACTGTATTCCCCTCGCCTAGTGTGGGCACATAATGTACACGACTGTATTCCCCTCGCCTAGTGTGGGCACATAATGTACACGACTGTATTCCCCTCGTCTAGTGTGGGCACATAATGTACACCACTATATTCCCCTCGCCTAGTGTGGGCACATAATGTACACCACTGTATTCCCCTCGTCTAGTGTGGGCACATAATGTACACCACTGTATTCCCCTCGCCTGGTGTGGGCACATTATGTACACAACTGTATTCCCCTCGCCTGGTGTGGGCGGTTATCTCTCAGAACCTCGCGCGATATGTTGAAATGATACAGATTTCACGCCCCTATCAACACTGTTAGGTTATTTAAGCGGGGGGACCCCCTAGTTTAACGCCCATCTTTGAAAGGACCGAGCCAAATGGGAAATTTCTGTACAGTGTCTCTCCCAAGGACACAACGTCGGACCGAGCTGAGGCTCGAACCCCCGAACCCGCAACCTCACGATCATGAGTCCGGTAACCTACACATCACACCAAATGGGAAGATTAACAAAGTACAAACGTAATATAAACTATACATGTATTTATCGCGTAATTGACGCCTATATAAACCATCGCTGCACTCTAACAGACCACTGCAAAGCTCTAAAAACTGTCTAACACTTGGAGCAAGAGAGACCAAAGGTATGTGAAAAGAGAATCAATAGGTATATAACATAACTATATTTGCTAATGATAACGACTGGTCGCACCGAGTTCACACCGTCAATGGAGCTTCTTTGGTTCTCCTTTTTTCGGCTCTGGTTTGGTTTGCTTCTTTTTTCCTAGGAAACATAATGTCTTGATCTCCCCTCCTTATCTTCTAGTAAGATCTCTAATCTTCCGACACTTACATTATGACCTTACAGAGTTTGCGGAGTCGTCAAACTCTGTCTATAACAAAACAAAAAAACCAAAACCCGCCATGTGCGGAGTCCGCGAAAAGTGAATCACAATATACGCCAAAGGAACACACATGTTCTGTATTAGTCTCGCAATTACGTACGCCATAGATCGCCACGCTGTGGTAATCAGCAATATCTTGCATTTATTCGCCC